GGTCGACGCGAAAAGTCTGCATTATCTAGACCGAAGTTGACATCGAAAACGTAACTGCTTCACAATTTCCACAGGCAAGGAATCCATGGGCATTCTCCTGTCCCTGAGTAGAAGTATCTATGACTGACACACTCCGTGAAGTCAATGGTAAAGATAATGTCAGAGAATACTGTTGTTTCTGAAGTCGCGTCGTCGGAACCGGAGTTTTAAGACTATACCCAACGCGCCCCTCCTATGGAGCCCTGAAATTTGTCCTACGCATCTGATTTGAGCTAGTTCAGAGTGCTGGATTTTGACTGAGGTGAGTTTAGTAGTGTGAGCTGGTAGTTTTCTGGCCCCTGCTTCCCTGCTGTTAGATGCGCTTGCGCACCCGCTGGGTATACGGGGTGTATGATTGTCCAGTCATCCTCATCTTTCTGACCAATTGTTGTGTTGTTGTTATTTTAAATCGTGTTTTTTTGTGGATGTGTGTCCGGTTGTGCAAGCCACCTACGTCGTCTCCCACCTCCGGTCTTATTGACCCTGTCTTGACACAGGGCCCAGATCGGAGAAGAGAAGAGATTGTGGTAGATGCTTCTCAAGGCTACTCGCATTATAAACTAATTCACGCGCAAGTTACCGTTCCTTCTCACAACTTGCTGTGAAGGACACGGTGAACATTGTCGGGCACGACGGTCTAACTGTTTCTCCTCGAGCACTGTTAAGCGTCGTCTCTAACACAGCGGTCTTCGGCGAATTCAGGGAGGTGCTTAAAGATGCTTATAATTGGTTGTCCTGGAACACGCATCAATGTGACTGCGTTGGACAAAAAAGGTCTGAATTTTAACCGCATGGTACGGCGTAGGACAGACTTATGTGCCACAACGGTGGTTATATTCTGATATCTAAAAAACAGGTATTTATCAGTTTTCTTCGGGGAATGTACTTCTCTAATGAACGCTCCCCCCGTAATGGCATAACGTTATCCCGGACCATGCCCAAATGCCGTTACAACGCCGTCCTCGGTCGTTGCACTGCTTTGAATGAGTCCTATAGAGAAAATAAGTCAACAGCATCCAGTTAAATCTCGCCGTACTATTCGGATATGCGTCCCATCTCAGTCCAATTCAATCGTAGCGGCTTACCGTTAGGACATAGCTGAAGCTGTTGCCTTCTTCCAAATACCCATAGGACAAAACTTTGTTCCAACGGCCTTAATAAAACTCGTAGGGGGTGAAAACTCTTCATCCACTTGCAGGTACAACATCACGCTGCTGTGTGATCGGCGCTTTAGACATCTGGTTACTACAGCCAGCGCATGTAACAAGACACATGGCAACAGAAAACGAGGCCAAGGTAAATGAAACCTCCCATAGTATAGATCACTTTTATGGATAACGGCATTCTTTTATGGGAATTACTCTGGAGTTGCAGGTTCCCCACGGTGGATTGTCCAACTTCTGTACGGGTCTGAGTGCGAGTGTTTCGCATCTACAATTAGTTTCTGAAAGAATAACTAGGGCAAAGTCTGTATGTTAAAAAAGTTCATTGCCCAAACACTCATTAAACAAGTGTCCTTCAAATGTTCTAGGAATTCCATCTACCACTGTAAAAATGTTCACCGGCTACTTATCGTTTTATGATTTAAGGAGCAATGACGTACTTCCAGATTTTGAACACTTCGTTCTTCTGACTCTTCGATAGACCTACCACATGTTACTTTAAGTTGCCTCCCGTATTTACAACAGGAGTCTGCAGGCAAATTCGTTGTTTGCGTATTTTGTGCATGGTCAACCTTGAAGTCTAGAAGCTGACAGGACAAGTCTGGAGACAGTCATTGAGGACTATGGTTTTCGTTTTCTTGTTCAACTGTTGGAAAATATGTCACTTGATGAGTGTTTTTGTTCCTCACTGCTCCAAGGTTTTGCTATGCATAGGATGTGTTCGATGTCTGTGCTCCGGTTCTGGTCAAATTTAAAATTGGTGACTTGTCCTAACTGTGTGTTCAAACTTTCAAAAATGGGGCTGTTGGTGACTTCAAGTCGGATAAAATTGTTGGAAGACGCGAGGTTTGCCTGCTGAGGACTGCGCTGGGAAATGGGGAGGAGAGGGTCTCACTTCGGCAATTCAACGGGATTACAACGAAACACTGATCAGGGTCAAGGGGTACCAGAAATGGAGTGATGGGAAATGGCCCAAAAGGGAGGGCTGACAGTTTGCCATCGTCATAAGTGGAGGGGGGCGTTGATGAAATCTGCCCGCGGACACACTTAATGCACATGGAGACCGAAATCAGGGTAGCTGCATTTAGTTTCAGAACGCAAGAAGCACCGGCGGCTCTTTGATAATGTCCATATCAATAAATTTTGGTACCTTCCCAGCTGACACAGTTACTGTGCGCGGGTGGTACAGATGCGCTGAACCGAAAAGAGGGGTTTGGGCAGGCTCACGGGCCACGTCTATCGGGTTGCGCTGAGTCTGTGCGTGCGTCCGTGCGTGGTGTGCCCTAGACGTAGACATTAACACCTCGTCAGCCACTGTGCCCAATTCCATCACCAGCTGGTTGGTAGTCCCGGAAAGTCTACTGATACACGGAGAGCTGGGAGGGAATGAGAGCGGGAAGTGGTGGCTTCAAGTGTTGCCAACCGATGGGACGACCCATTCTTAGCGAGATCCTTGTGCCAGTCCCGCGCATGCGCGATTCGAGGCCCGCTTACGGCGTGAAGTGGAGATCAGGTCGCCTTTGGTAAGCCTAAACGGTTGTTTAGATTTGTAACTTTAAGCTACCTCCGATAGTTAGAACATGAGCCAACAGGCAGATCCGCGGTCTGCGTGTTTGATGCATGATCAACCTTGAAGTCTAGAAGGTTACAGGACAGGAGTGTCACAGAGGGCTATAGTTTTCGTTTACTTGCTCACCCATTGAGAAATATGTCAATCAATGAGTGGAGTACTCATGTTCGTTCCAGAATGGTGTTGTTGACGGCTTCGAGTCAGATAAAATTGCTGGAAGATATGGGGTTTGCCTGCTGAGGGCCGTGCTGGGAAAGGGGGGGGGGGAGAAGAAGGCCCCACATCTGCAATTCAACGGGTTCACAAAGGAAGGCGAGCCAGGATCGAGGGGCACCGGAAATGGGGTGATGGAAAATGGTCTGAAAGAGAGGGCTGGTAGTCTGCAGTCGTCATGAGTCTGAGGGATGTGTGGAGGGGAAGCGCTGATGAAATCTTCCCATAGGTACAGTTAATACACATAGAGGCGGAGATTAGGGTAGCTGTGGTTAGTCTTAGAACGCAAGAATCACCTGCGGCTTTATCGTCTAATGTCCATGCCGATAATTTTGGCACCTTCCCAGATGATGCAATTGCTATTTTAATGTACAAATGTTAGCCGAAATTCCGAAATGCGTTTTCGATCTGGAAGGATTACTTAGGTAAGGTTGTAATATTGATTATCATGCAGCATAATCCAGCAATATTTCGGACTTGGCAGGATGTCGGCTTTTAAATGCACTTCTTTTTGATCTCCTGCAGAAACCACACTCGACAAAAATGATTACTTGAGTAGCATAGATTCTTCGCAAGGATTCTCGATGACCATATAAATTCAAATATATGTTATATAAAACATGCACAAAAGTATGCTTTCTCCTGCTCATTTGTTGGCAGATCACGTCAACTTTACATTTTATGCTTAAGACTGGGTATATTTAGGTTTTTAGTTTTTTTAGGTTTTTGTAAGACCGTGCAATGTCCATTCACACAGCATCGTACCTGTCCATTTGCCACTGCTTTTCATGAAATTTACAATATAGGCCGCATCCATTGCAAAATCTTCTGGACTCATATATCTATTTAAAGGCATAAAAGAATGTATGCTTTTCCTTACGCGGAACGCATGCATCCTGCTGACTGTTATCACTAAGCGCCAACGCAACGGCTAATCAGGCTTCAAATTATTCGGGAATTAGAAAACTCTTTAAACACTAATTATACTCCTTCTTCGAGTATAAAATATAAAGACAAAGTGCTTCTCTATCAAACGAGTGAAAGAAAGCATATTTTGTTCATGTTTTTTATAAAATATATTGGAATTTTTTAAGCCCGTCGAAGATCAATGTGAAAAATGCATGCTACATAAGTAGTCATTTTTTACCGAGTGTGGTTTCTGCAGGAAATCGAGAAGTGTATTCAAAGGCAGACATCCTGCGGAGTCCGACATATTATAGGATTATTCCGCAAGATAATGTGTATTAGAACCCCACTTAAGTAATCTTTTCTGATCGGAAATGCATTTCGGAATTTCGGCCAACATTTCATGAGATTGTTCACTCACCGTATGCGCATGGCTGGTACTGATGCGATTGACCGAAAAGAGAGGCTTGGACAGGCTCAAGGACCACGTCTATCGGGTTGTGCTGAGTCTGCGCAAGATCATAACGGCTGCAGTGCGTATGTCCATGGGTGACGCGCCCTAGACGTAGACATTTACACCTCGTCAGCCACTGAAAGTGCCGGACAGTCCACCGATGCGCGAAGAGGGGGGGATGGAGTGAGAGTGAGAAATCTTGGCTTCAAGGGTTGTCAACCGATGAGACGATCCCGGTCCTTTTTTCATAACTGAGAGTCAGTCTGTAAGGTCTTTTGTGCTACTCTCACACATGAGAGATTCGAGCCTCACCTAGGACAGCCTGACACACAAAGTGGAAATTAGGTCGTCTTCGGTAAACATAAACGGGCTGCTTAGATTTGTTAGCAACGACTTACGTCCACCCTCGGTCGTTCTGGCATTGTCTTGCAACCGGAACAAAGTGCAAAAGGGAGATGCTGCGCAAGTCTGCCCCGGTATAAACTAATTTACATTCACGCCAACGGCGCTGCGCCCACTCTGTGGAAGCAACGGTTGACATTGCTGGCTGTTCAGTTCCTTTGACGACAGGTCGTCAAAGGAGCTGACGAAGGAGCAAGCACAGGTTTTACGGCACGAAGCTTCATTCAACACAGCTGACGCCAAACCTGTCAACATGATTGCAGCAGTGGAATCGGTCATTAATCAGACGGAAGCGACAGAGGAGACGAAGAACCTTATCCGACACCAAGTTACGTCCCTCCTTATGACTCACAAGCCGCGTGAAACACTCACAAAGGTCGAACGACATGCACTAAGAGAACTCAAGGCCGACAAGGACATCGTCATTGTGCCCGCGGACAAGGGGCGTTCCACCGTCGTACTGGACAGAACAGACTACCTTCAGAAGGCCAAAAACCTACTGGAGGATCGCAAGTTCTATGTCCCATGTGAAACCAACCCCATAAAAACGCTGACACGTGAAATTAATGCAACACTGTTGGCACTGGAGAACTCGGGTGCAATAACAGCGACCGACCGACGCATGGCGAGAGCCCAAGAAACGGCTTTGGCCCGATTCTATGGTCTCCCAAAGGTGCACAAGGAGGGCGCTCCTCTCCGGCTCATTGTTTCGCTCAAAGGCACTCCAACGTACGGACTGGCAAGATGGCTGTTTCGGCGCCTCAAATTTCTGACCGCTGATTCGGACACCACGGTCTGTTCGTCAACGCAATTCCTGGAGAAGCTTAAAGGAGTAAGTCTCTTGCCCAATGAGGTCATTGCTGGCTGTTTCATTGCGGTGGGGAGTGAAGGACTGATAGGTTATGCTCACTGAAGCCAGCTCATTGCAGGAGGAAATGACAAAAATGGCCTACAGTCCCCTCTCCGACTGTCCGCAAACCCCGTTTCTACCAGTTATTTCTGCTGGCAACAGTTGGCTAAAATTTCAAAAAGCCCTTCACTTGTTAGACTTGTTTAGTCTAAAGAGTTAATGCAACTAACCCCAGCGTTATGAAAATTTGAAGAATCCTGCTTCAGAGTTGTGAAAATCCCCATAGCAATAGTCAGAAAACAAAGCAGTGAGCAGGCCGGTACAGTTATATGGGAAAAGTCGATTAAATTTGACTTCAAAACACAGGCGTGGCGAGGGCAGAAGGACGCAGAAAGTTGCATGTGGTTGGTCAGCCTTTGGCTACGGTAAGCGCGGAGCCTGAACGAGGTTCTTATGAGCACATAGAGTCAGTTTGCGTAACCTGATTGCAGCCGATTCTGCTGTTGCTAACAGACGCCGGCCCAGTAGCGTAGGATAGCCCGAGCAATCTTTGTAAATCTCACGGAAAGCTTCAGGGGAGTTCACATGATGTCCTGAATCAACTACATACTTATGCTCCTAATTTTGCCTTTTGCCAAAAGTGCAGAAAGGTGTTCTCATAGTCTTTTGGATATACGGCCACTATAAACTGCTCCACAGGAGCAAGTGAACAAATAGATCCCCATTGAGGTGGTCTGAGGTTGCAGCCAATCCTTATCTTCTCCGCGTAAAATATTGGAGGTAGAGAATGATAGTTGAGTCCTTGCTGCTGAGAAGGTTCACGAGAGAGCATGGTCAGGACGTCTTCTTGTGAGTTCAACCGCAGCGTCTCCTTAAAAAGGGATTTTGGGAAACAAAGGGTTTTTTCGACAGTCAGTATGGTGGGTCCAGCTATTGTGTCGCGTTCATCATCCCCCGAAGAGGACGAAGAAGAAGTGACAGCAAATTCATTGACCGAATTGTATTGGAACTGACGTTTAGGAAACCCTCTCGTTTCCATCATCAGAGGAATGTGTTGGATGTTCCTGCTGGCCTTGATTGCTTCAGCCTTGATGCCTGCCTGGTATTATATCAGTGCTCGAGGCACGAACTATGACCTGCCCGCTCGCTGCCGATTAGCCTTGAGCTCTTCGCGATTGACCGCCGGTGGGCTCATGTCACCTCTGACCCTTTTGCGGCCGTCGTAATTGTTGACGAGCCAGCATGCTTGTCAGCCTCCCCTTCGTCACTCATCGGACTGATCAGTTGTTGTAGCTCAGCCTCGTGGGCGTCGCGGTGAGGTGGCGTCCCATGCTAGTCTCAAGACATCCGGCCGGCGTCTCCTATTTTCCGCTGGCATCGGCTGTTGGCTACGCGCGACATTGTTCGACTGCCCTAATGGCCTTGTCCGCACTGACTCGGACCTTGTGCGTAGTCCCTGGTAGGCGGGATGCAGATCTATGGCTCTCTTAGGTGTGCCAGTCGAGGACCAACTTTCGAGCATAAGTCTGGCCATCTTATCATTGGCTCGGCCGATTATCCTTGCCTTCTCGGAGGCGAAATATGGTTTTTCTGTTGTACGTGGCCATTAACCATAGACAGGTTTTCCTTGGTCATGCAATCTCGTGCCAAAACGTTTGTCCGTTTCACCAACATACCTCGCATCATAGTCTTGGCATGGCATGCTGTAGACCACCGCCGCTTGTTCTGTCACTGGCAGCGGGTCTTTGGGCCTCATTATTTACTGCCGGGTTGTTGACTCTGGCTTATGAGCCAGACCGATCCCGAAAGGCTTCAGGATTCTTGCCGTCGACTCTGATACCTTTTTCACATAAGGGATTGCGAGCCAAAACTTCGGGTTTTCTCCGTCCGACCGCCCAGGGTGGGGCGTCCTAAGACATTTGAGGATGTAGGACGTGAGATATCCGTTGGCTTTAAATAGAGCGGGCAAGTACTTACTCTCCTTCTTCCTCCCATTGTCGTCGTTTCAGTGTGTTTGAACGCCTTGGAAGAGGGTTCTGGCACAACTGCGTTTATGACCAACGGGGTGGTTGCTTCTGAAGTGGAGGATTCGCCTGGTGTTAGCTGCCTTACAGTAGACCGTTGTCCCTATCTTCCCGTCTCCCAGCCTTGTCACTTGTACGTCAAGGAAGGCCAAATGATTGTTCAGCTCTTCTTCCATAGTAAACTGGATGTCGGGAAAGATTCAATTCAACAGGGCCTTGAAAGTCTGCACATTGCTCCTTTTGATGATGACGAAAGTTTTATCGACTTATCTGACCCAGAACTTCGGAGGGTGCAAGCTAAAGACCAGCCGCTCGGGCCTCTGCAAAACCGCTTCGGCAATGAACCCAGAAAAGGCGAGCCCATCAGTGTCCCCTTCCTTTCTCGTAGACCTTTCCGTTGAATGTAAAGAACATCTTAATACACAGTTCCAGGAGCTCGATATGAACTCGTTTGAGCTGTTGGTCAGTCTCATCATACCTTTCCCGGAGAATGCCGTCAATAGTGTTGATAGTCAGCGAGGGTGGAATGGTGAGATACATATGCACATATATATCCATATGACAAAGTTATTATGCCGTACTCCCGAAATAGGTACTAGCTAAAGGCCCGGACACGCCTTTCACCGATATTCTGCCGCTGCGTGATACAGCTATGAGGGGTTCGGCTCCTTAGTGGATCCCCCAGCGTCCTCTATGCTGTTTTAGGTATATAAACTCCAGCGAATAATCAAGCGAATAATTTCGGAAATTATTCAGTGCGGAACATAGAGTTAAGTCTCCAGGACATGACGTTTTATGGTCAAAACCGATTTTTTCCGAAAAACTCACCCTTTTGCATTATATCTACCCGGGAGGCATATATATACATACATGTTGGAGGCGTGTTCGTCGATCGTGTTGCGAGACGTGCTCATCCCATTATGCCACGGATCTCAGTTTGGAGTTCTCGCACGCCTTCGCACAACGACCAGTATTATATTCGTAGCAGGAGGGCCGAAAAGACACGAAAGACTGAGATGAATGTTTCTGGCCGTCGGCTGACCCTAAGTTCATAGTACCCGAGATTTAAACCCGTGTCCCTTGGCCATTAAACGTTATTAAGTCAAGCTCTATTATTAAACCACTTGCCTCGTCACCGCATACACTAGTTGTCCCTATGCTGCCGCCAGTGGAAGTGCTAGATTCAGCCTCAAAGCTCCACCGGTCGAGCATGTCTCGTAACTTGACCTCTGAACGTCTCTTCCCTCAGTAAACCGTTTAATTTATTTAAGACTATCAGAAAATGCCTTTGAAACCCTATTAAAAACCATCTTCTGTAATCACATCCGGAAAGTAGTTTTGGAAGCACTGAATCCTGCAGAAACGCAAGACATTTCGATATTCCGACCTTCGGCGACATTTTGATGCACACAATTCCACAGCGGGTAGTGACGTTCGCCTATCCAGCCAGATTACCGGATGAGACAAGATCCATCCGCTTAAGTCTACAGCCCTTAGATCTAGGACCCTCCAAGGCAGTTAAATGTCAACGAGGCTTAAAAAACAAAAGGTATTTTGGATAAAAAACTGAACAAATGCAGTGACCACGTCCAGTTAACTTGCCGTCCTCTTTCGATCATACTCCAACCCCCACAGAGGAAAGACTTGACGACGAGAATGGTTAGATTGCGTACAGGTTGGCAACCTCTTAGGTCATTGGCCCAGTGCCTAGTTAGATGTAGGTTTCAATTCACGTTTTTCCCAGACTAAGGCTTGATAATGGCCGATCCAATACTCAAGGCAGGAACGCCGATCATTCCCAGCCCCACAGTCTCTGTCAGCAGATTATCGAAAATATACTATTTTAACCGGTAAACTGTCAGGCTAACCGTGATCATTAGAAGTTGTTCCCCAAGGAGCCAGTGACTATTCAGCTTCTTAAAGAATAACTAATTAACGGGACGCAATCCTTGAAAGACGCTCAGAGCAGGTGCATCGGGCAGAAAATGATTTTTTAAAAAGCCAGTGCCACGGGCGGAGAGGGCGACAGCAATAAAAAGCTAATTATGGGATGCTGTATGAGAAGACTCCGTATGACACTCCTGTATGACTCCGTATGACTCCTGCCTGAGAAGACTCCTAACTCATGAAATGTCAGCGGAAATTCCGAAATGCGTTTCCGTTTCGAAAAGACTACTTAAGTAGGGTTGTAAAACCAATTGTCATGCCGCATAATTCTATAATAATTCAGTTACTACAGGACGTCGGCTTGCGAAGAAACGACTTTTCGGCTGCATCTGAAAACAAAACATAGTAAAAATTGACTAGTTAAGTAGAATGCACTTTCTTATGGATTTTCGGTGCCCTTAAAGATTTGATTATATTTCACGGAAAAAATGCACAAGATATTCATTCCTTTGCTCATTCAGTAGAAAATTACGTCTTCTTTTAATTTTACACTCGAAGGAAGGGTATAATTCGGTTTTAAAAAAGTTTCAAACTGTGAGAGTTTTTTAATACTGGATAATGGCTCTTCATAAAACGTCCTGTCTCTGCATTTACCAATGTGGCTTTTAAAGTTAACAATGTGACCTAAATCCACGGCTATATTGTATAAACCCAATATTGTCTCCCCTTAATACCGTAGAGAAATGTACGACTTTCTGTACGCGGAAACTATACGGCTTTTAGAGCCCTGAATGCTATTGAAACGGTGTGCTGGGTTAAAAACAATTCGGGAATTGGAAAAGTTGTATAAGATCGAAATACGCACTTTTTTCGAGTATAAAGCTTGAATACACAACGTTCAACTGAATGAGCAAAAGAATGAATGTTTTAGTTCATGTTTTCCATGAAATATAATTGAATCTTCAAGGGTATCGAAAATCGATGAAAAGTGCATGCTACTGAATTTGTCATTTTTTAACGAAGGAGGATTTTCGCATGCAGGCAACAAGAAGTTTGTTCGAAAGCCGGCGTCCAGGGGTAATTAAATTATTATAGAATTATGCTGCATGATAATTGGTTTTACAACCCTACTTAATTAATCTTTTTAAAACGGAAACGTATTTCGGAATTTCTGTCGAGATTTCATGAGTAAACCCACTTACTGTACCTCGAATAATCAGCAATTTTCAGTGTAAGCATACTTTTCGGCTTCTGGTTGCTGTCTTAAGGAATTTCGAGGCAATTTTAAGTACAAGCTTCTCCTTAAAATTCCAGTCAGCTTACCCAGAGATCTCTCCAATCATTTCTAGTGCATAACATAGCTGGTGTACCGATTCGCACTCTATTTCATTGTTTATCTTTTGAGTACAGTAGCCCTATAGGCTTCCTACACTGCTCTTCGCGATCCCAATAGCTTAATGCATGATCCAATCAAAACGATCTCCTTTCCCCCTGAAATATCCTATGCAGTTTGCCATTATTACTTTAACTAAAAGGGTTTGCTACCGTGAGCAGTAGATAGTGCAGCTACAAGCTGATCGTTTTGTGGTGGAAGAGCAAGAGCAGTCGGCGTAATGGTCGACCAGCGACTGTTTGTGAGCTTCCACTTTGGTGCGGGGGAAAACCTGCTGTGGAAACATGGTTGCGGATAATCCTAGTTGCCTTGCAGACAAAATCATAATTTCTTATTGGTATCTGCTCAATTTTTAAACGTCGACTGGTTCAGTACTTGTTCAAGTCGAATAAAGAAAAAAACGCTTTTGCACCGAGTATATTGTACCTGATGAATTGAATGGGGATATGGTACTTGGATGGGGTAGGGAACTTATGCAAACTTTACGAGGGCGTCATCATAATGGGCTCAAGGTTTATGTTATAACTGAACTGCCGGATCGAAGCAGGGCTTAATCATGTCAGTCGCAATTTGCATAAAAGCGAAAACATTCCATCAAAATTATCTTCATTGACGACAGTGAGCTAAATGTAATTCATGTGGCAAAGCAACAGCAGTATTTGTCTAAACTTGTTGTAATATGAGTGACTTCCTAAGTAACTTCATTTTTTCCAATAATTTCCGATATACCTATACATTCATACATTCAAATATATTTTATTGAAAACACGCACATAAATGTACTATGGTGCACTCATGTGCGACAGCTTGAGGTCTCTTTAAAGTTTCCGCTTCAAGAAAGGGTAGCCTTCGGTTTAATAAGGATCGTAGTTATGACACTTTATGAGGGATAAAACGTAGTCCATATCCATTGCGAAATCATATGAGTGCCGAAAGGCACATACCCAATGACGTAGAGGAGTGAATAATTGTCCTTCAATGGGATATGTGCAGCTTGTAGTTTGGAAACCCCTTTCGAAAGTGTAGACACAATTCGAGTTCAGGTTATTGTGGAAGTGAAAGAATCTAAAACCAGTAGATGCCGTTTTTCTTTGAAACATTTAAAGACATAATTTTCGATAAAAGAATTAAAGAAGAAGAGATTGTTACACGTATAATTCGATATGCGAGGGAATCCAGACCAGAGAAAAACATAGCACTAAGCAAATGGTAACATTTAAAAAGCATACTTTTAACAGGCAGTTGGAAAGACACCTATCTAGAAGCGACATCAATACGAGGCTGATGAATTCTGGAATATTTCGACCCCATCTAGGTAATCCCCTCTAGTCATGACCATGTTTCAATATTCCAGCTAATGTCTCATGAGCCATTTAGCTTACTGAAAATGCGCATGCCACGTCAACTGCTACACGTGTTCATTCGCACAAACTGCATCACTCCAAATTTTGTCCTTTACTGCTCGACTTTCGGAATCGAAATGTCCGCAATATCCACTATTTCGATGCTCATTTGAACTGATTCTAAATTAAAACTTTTCAAACACCTTCCACCGCCTTGCTAAAACCCACAGCGGGAACCCACGTCGGCTGTTGCTGCTACTACCACTGCACAAACATTACATTTGCTACAGGGAAACAGTGTTTGCCTTACCTTGGACGCAATGAGAATCCGGTGGCAGGCTGGAATGAATAACGGTTCGACGTCGCAGACAGCCAGTTTTACTGCCCACCTGCGAAAACAGAAGCGCACGTAAAATCGTTCGGCTATTTATGGAGTAGACGAGATCGACCACGCAACATGACCTGAAACTCTGACAGTACCGCGCGGAAACAGGTTACGTAGACCTGTAGTGGACACGCAACATCGGAGGTAATGACATGCCTGCGCAGAACGTCTGTTTTCCGACAGTTGCCAACGTCTGTTTGTTGGTTTTCATGGAGAAAACAACCTTCCAAAATAGAAGGCTTTCTGCTTGGACAATAGGGGACTTTGATTGAGTCTGTGAAAAACTTCTCACAGAAGAACGTACAGCAGAGATCGATGACAACAGAATAGAAAAACTGTTCGCCAAAGGTCCTGGCCAGGCTCTCGGCAGAACCAAATGTGTACAATTAGTTT